TTCACACCGTAAAATAGTTTGGGTATTGATCAGACAATATGACCATAGTTCAGGTACTAATCGGCCGTTTACCCGTTCTTTCAATGATTTAAAATCAATTGTTAATGTTTTTATTCAGTTAAAAATTAAAATTAAAAATAGATTTAATTGATGAATTCTGAAATCTTTGTAGTAGCGTTGGATTTTGATTTCGATCATTTATTCATGAGATCCCACAACAAAATATTTGAAATCAGTTTTAAATACATAAAAAAAAAAAATCTTTTAAAGTTGAATAACGTTGAATATTCCATTGAAGAACACTAGATTTTAAAATAGAATTTAGAATCATCAATTCAGTAACGATGGATTTTTTCGTTAAACAAAACAAAGATCCACGAGTTGAATAAAATTAATATATTCACATATCTATGCTAAATATTTTATTTTCTAAAATTCTATGGAAAATATCTTAAATTTTAATAATTTATTAAATTATACATTAGATGTTCACAATTAAATAATCATAATAACAATAACTAATATAAATAGTATTAGAAAATTCACAGTTTCGTTCCTGTGTTTTATTGCTTTTAGTCATTTATAGTTTATTTGTTTAATATTATGAAAAACTGTTCAACATATTAAGAAATTTAAAAATATGATAGAATAATCTAATAACATATAAATATATTTGAAATTTAATTATATAATTTTAGACAAATATTCACAAGTTGGATACAATTAATATATCTGAATATCTTTGATAAACATTTAATTTCTAAAATGCTAGGAAATATATTTTAAGCTTATATAATTTCATTAAGATATAGATTTGATAGCCACATTTAAATAATATTTATTAAAATAACATAAATAAATAATATTAGAAAACTTCAAAGATGTGCCCCTCTGTTTTATTTCTTTAATTGTTTTACAGTTAATTGTTGAATATTTTGTGAAGCTATTTAAATATTATAAAATTAAATTAATCTGATAAAATAATCTAATAGCGTAAGTAAAAAATATGTAAATTAATACCCGATAAATTAATAAACACCATAAATTAATATATTTTTTCAGTCCCAAGTTAGATCGACAAAATATAACACAAATTGATAAGATAATAACTTTGTAGGAAATACTATGTAAATATATGGTCCCTTTATATAAGGACAAACCAACTATCATGTTGTTTAATATTTACAAAAAAAAATATTTATTTTCTTAACACTTAGGGGGTGTTATTGGTTTTGGAAGTTTAGTGGAATTGAATATAACTGTAATAAGGTGATTTGGAATTGAATAACAGGTGATTTCAATTCCTATGAAATATATTTAACAAATCTTAATCCAATAACACTGGATTTTAATTCACATTCATCAAATCCCAATTGAATAACAGTAGATTTCTTTCCAGATTTACATTCTATCAAATTCCATTAAACTTCCAAAACCAATAACACCCACTTAATATATTTTTATGAGATTTAGTAAAGTTATATTTAAAACCACCTTTAAACTCCATGAGACATATTTTATATCCATCAATAATATACTAAAACCTATATTAATATCAAATTTCAAAAAATAATAATTAATGTATATGCACTAACATTAAATATATTTTTAATTTATAAAAACATATATCATAACAAAGAAATCTAAAAAAAAAATTATAAATTAATAATTTTATAAATTAATAAAATATTATAGTTCCAAAATTATTAATTTATCTTATTTTCACTGTAACCCAAACATATTGGAAAATGTGTTAGAGTCTTATGTCAACCAATAGTATATTCCATAAATTAATAGAGAATTATACATTGAATTATATATATATATATATGCATAATTTTTCTTATAAATGTATTAATTTTTGTAAATTCCAAAATTAACTTAAAACTGATTGATCAAATGCGCCCGTAGCACTTCAGTACAATATACTGGTACTTTCAACATGTAGGAAATACATATGAATTCTACGGTGAATAATAATGCATTTCTAATATGAAATTAAGAATATCCGCGCTTCGGGCGAGCTTTTTTTAATATATAGTATAAATTACATTAAAACTTTGTAAATCAATTCATTGACTGAAGATCATTTCATAAAATTAACTGTATAGTAATGGTAATCAAAACATTTGACTATAAATAATATTTCGCATCAAACAATAATTATGTAAAAATACACTTACTCGATATATTTATTAATAAAGTTTCGTAAATAATGCTAAAACTTCTTACAAATAGTATACCATTATAAAAAAGACAAAGTAAATGCAACAAACAAGATCATTGATGTAAATCCTCCATGACATCTATCAGCTCCTTAACCCAGTCAACATATTTGATGCTTGCAAACGACTATGTGGTTGTTGAACGGATTTCACATCCCATGACATCCACGTAATTAATGCACTTCTTACACTATGATGTAAATCCTCCATGACATCCATGTAATGAATTTCTTGCACTATGTAAGTTAAGTATATTTCAAAATACTATGTGGTTGTTGAACGGACTTTCACATCCCAGTATAAGTTCATCAATCTTATGAAAACATTGTTTCTCTTGAGGCTTTGGTGCTTCAGACAAAAAGTTAGCACCATCCGAAAAATCTGAGGTAACATTCGCTTTCATATTGTGTTATAATGACTCTAAATTGGTAAAAGCTCAATGCTGCATTCAAGAACTCAAGATGATGAACTGTTGTGTATCGTGTTAGTTGTTACAGTTCTATCATTTCATGGAGTAAAAACTGGTGACTCCATTCCCCGTGATACCAGAAACAGAAACAGAACCAAGGGCCTGTTTCGCTAACTTATCAGCGATAGAGTTCCTTCCACAAGGAATCCATACAAAAGACACAAAGTCAAAAGAGCTAACAACAATTCTAATATCAGAAACAATCCCATACAACTCTGGGGGTTCCACCTTTGCATTTAGAGCCGAGATGAGCTGAGAAGAGTCGGATTCGCATCTAACACGTCGAAGTCCAATGTTCAGGCATTTCTTGAGTGCTTCCCTCATTGCAAGTCCTTCAGCCACAAGCGGTGAGTTCACAAAACCCACACAAGACTGAAAACACGAGCTCTGTCCTGCATTTTTAATTATCCATCCCAGACCTGCAGTGTTAGAAATCTCCTTCCAAGCTGCGTCGGTTTGGATAATGCAGTCCGAAAGCGTAGCCACAGGAGGAGCGCGCAGTACTGGGATTCTCAATTTTTCCTTTTCCTGTGCATTAAGCCATTCTCTTTCCGCCGCCACCGCATGAGTGACGACTTCTTCCACTGTAACCAGCTTGTTGTTGAAGATCATTTTGTTACGAGCTATACACAAAGCCCACGCAAGCCATGGAGCTAACTGCCCGTCGACAATACCCACAGGTGGTAGGCAAGGATTCTCAATCAATCTCATCCAATCAGTGTTCAAATCTAGTAACCTTCTTCTATCAAATTGTTGAGTAAATGGAGCCGATTTCCACACCTTATCGGCGAAATCACATTGAAAAAGGAGATGGTCAATAGATTCAAGCTTCCCACATCGTTTACATAGGGGGTCAATGTTGATATGTCTCGCCACTAGCACTTCCCCGACAGGAAGCACTCTTTTAACTGTCTTCCAGACAAAAATTTGAACCTTCGGGGCGGTTTTCAGATTCCAAACGCCTTTGTTCCAGTTGAAACCGTTTCCATGTTGAGGTTGAGGTCTCTCTTCCTGAGCTGTTCGTAGCTCCACCGCAGCGGCATAGCCCGTTTTTGTTGTATAAACTCCATCTCTCATATGCAGCCAGAAGAGTTTATCAGGAGCCCCTAAAACACTTGGCTTGATGGCAAGGATAGTACTTGCCTCAGTAGGGAAAATTTGATGCACTTTCTGGTGATCCCATTCAGTTGTGTCTCCAATCATCAGGTCAGCAACCTAGAGATCCACGAAAGCCTCCGGTGAGGGTCCCATGGGTCTCGCTTGGCGTGTGGTGTTTAGCCATGGATCACTCCATGCACTAATTTGCTTACCATCACCCACCGACCAACCCATGTTTTTAATCAGTAAATCCCGTCCCAGGAGAATCCCTCGCCATCCATGGGATTCTGCGGACCTATGTTTTTAATCAGCAATTTTATTATAGTTTTATTTTTAATGGGTTTTTTCTTTTTTTTATTGGATAATTGAGAAAAAATTGAATTTATCTTATAGTTCAAAATTAGACTCACGTTAAATTATTTCCTAATTGGATTTAAGTAAATTGGTTGAGTTCTAAATTTTTCCTAGTGCTAAATATATAAGATTATGATGATATTTTTATCACAAAATAGCAAACAAAGATTAAAATTAGTAAAAATTCATTAAAAAGTACTTGACAGTTATACCCATACTTCAAAGATATATTAGACAAATTAAAATTTTCTTTGAATTTTTTAAAAATTGTATTTTTATTTTCTAAAAAAGTATTCAGAATTTCTTTTGATTTTTTTTTCCGGATATTTTTCTTTTCAAAATTTCCCTTTTTGATTTTTTATTGAATTACCTTTTTAACAAAATAAAATTTTCTAGGAATTTTTTAAAAATTGTATTTTTATTTTCTAAAAAGTATTCAAAAATTCTTTTGAATTTTTTTCCAGATATTTTTCTTTTCAAAATTTCCCTTTTTGATTATTTATTGAATTAAATTTTCGTAAATGAAATCTTTCTGATTAAGTATGATATTTTTAAAAAAATTTCAGAAAGACTTTCATACATAAACATGTATAATATCTTTCTTAATTTGAATTTATGAAAACCTTCCTGAATAAGTATAATATCCAATAAGATGACCAAGTTCCTCTAATTTAGATTTGTTACCTTCTATCCATAATCTTAATGTATATATAAAGATACTTTAGTAGAAGATTACTAACAATAGAGGTTGAGGAAAATAAATTCTCTAGTAAGTCATGGCTTCTTCCTCAAATTGTTTCTTTCTTGTTTCAATGGTAGTCTTGTTACTATTTTTCTTAGGATCTCCTTTGGCCATGGCCTCAACAAAAGATATTGCTACCATATGCAATGGTCGTTCTGTCCTCCCTATAAATAAAACGTTATGCCTGCAAATACTCACAGCGTATCCTCCCGCTGTCTCTGCACCTAACATAGTAAATTACTCTCTAACCCCTCATTTATTTTCTTTCTTGATCCAATAATTCTGTTGTTTGTTTTTTTATTTGATATTACATTAAAATTTTAAATTCAAAAGATTTAGATTTCTTTGTCTAAGTTATGGGTCTAATTGTTTTAGCCGAAAAAAAAACAATTAAGAAAAAATCCTACAAGTAAATCATAAAATAGGTAATTAACTATTTTGCAGTCTTGTGTTTTAGATTCCAGTTTTCATTGTGTTGGGGTTTAAGATTCATGTTAGTCTATGAGGGTTCAAAATGTTAGTATTACATATATTCATTGATTTTACTGGTACGAAATCTGACATATTTGCTTATTTATTAAGATAATTAATTTTTTAGCTAGCTTATTGAGAAAAAGTGTATTGGAAATCGTTAACAGTATTTGGTAGTAAATATGTAATCACTAGTATGGCAAAAGTTTTTGTAGCATTCCCTAATTATTATCCCTGAAAAACTACAATTCTCAGTAAAATTGTGTGTGTTTTCATATATAGGTCAAGCTTGTGAAAATCGTAGTCGGCCTTGGAGAGTCCAAGGCAAACAAAACGGCAGATTTCGTTGCCGGATTGGTAAAAGAGCCTACATTTAAGCAATATTTTAAGGCGTGCAATGACGCCTATAAGTTAGTAGTGGGGAATTTTAGAAGTGCGCGATTAGAACTCGAGGATAACGAGACACAGACTGCAAGCTATGATATCCTGGTTAGTATGGACGATACAGAAATGGTGAAGAATACAATCGGCAAGAACACAGACAAGGCCTCAAAGACGCTCATGGAGATGACATTAGTTATGGAGGATTATATTGGTATAGCTTTTACAGCCGTCGACCAAATCGACAAATAATGACGGAATTATTGAACTTTTCATGTGCCCAAATCCCAATAGATAATATTTAAATTTGAAATAAAAATATGAATTTCAATTCTGATTAATAAATGCAGCATATCGGCATTATTGGTAATATTTAACTGTTTATGTGAAACTCGTATAAACATGCATGTGTTATTTTCTTGATTAGTTTGCTCTCTAGTGGTTTATCTTCAAACGTTGCAATTGACATATAGCAGCTTTGCTTTGACCCTTACAGCAGAGGTAATAATCAGCAGAGGTTATAAAGTCTCGAGTTTAAACATACTAGTGGGACACTAATAACAAGTTTAGCTCATACCCAATTAGTTTTTACCAAACTGACGCGAATTGTAAACTAAACGCAAAGTTCAGAAAGCAGTGTTATCGCAAAGTTCAAAAACAACAACGACTTCTTAAGCCACCTATGAGCAATCAAGAGCACCAATCTGATTATATAGATGCTCCTCCTCAATCTGAGTCCGTCGCTGCAGAATCCATGTATGAAGAAAGAGAAAATATTGGTGAAGCGGTAGTTCACCGCTTTTATAATGAACTTTGTCGATTAAGTCATAATATGAATAAAAAAACACAGAACATCAAATTTTTATTTAAAAAAAAGACATCTTATATATATATTTTTTAAAATGATTAATAAAAAAAATTATAAATAAAATGTGAGCTTATTTATCTTCCATTATTACAGGCAATTTAAATTAAAAAGTAATTATTTTAAATAATATAGTATTATAAACGAATGTAAGTAGTAAAAAAATACTCAAATATTTTTCCAAAAAGACTAAATTTATAAAAATAAACTATATTTCTTATTTAAAGATTAATTATCAAAATAAATTTAAATTATCAAAATAAAATAAAATAAAATTATCAAAAAAATTAAATTATTAATAAAGAAAATTTAGTAATATTGACTAAATATAGGAGGCCCTTTTGTGGGCCCATTGAGGCAAGGATTTCAAAACTTTTTTAGAGTTTTCCTCAACAGAAAAAAGAATGCACAGATTGGACGGTTTGAGAATAGACCAACACGTACGCTTATTTGAGAGATCCAAGGGTTTAGAAAAACAAAGGCTCTCTCGAGAAAGTTGTCTGATCCTCTCATAGTGGGAACCATGGGCGAAGGAAGCCAGTTTTACTCCGGTAAGATCATCTCTCTCTCCATCTCTTTAACCAAACCGAAATTGTTTTGTTAGATTTTTCGATCCCCTCATACTTATTATGCCTTTGTTTTGAAAAAAAAAAAGAGAATATGTCAATGCTGTTCTGGAACATGGACGACTACCCAATCCCTGCTGCTGGTGGTGGTGTCGAAGATGGTCTTGGTTTTATTCGTAATAATATCGTAGAAGTTGGTCATCGAATGGGCTTTCATGGATTTATGGAAATCTGGGTGTATTGTAAGCGAATCAAACGCGACGTACAAGAAGAGTTGAGAGAAAAGGCTGGAATCTATTACTTACCCATATGTACAATAATAATCTCTCTCTTTTTGTCTATCGTTAATTTCTACTTATTGTTATTAATAATAATAATATATGTCTCTCTCTTTTCTTTCTTGGATAGGTTCAAGAACTGGTGTTAACAACCCGTCTCCTCTGGATATGACTTGTTATTTGGTTCATCACGCATTATCTGTTTATGGACCATATGGTCCACCCGATTTAGTGGTAATAGCAAAACCAGTAAAGGAGTTAGATAGGGTACTCGAGTGTTTGCGTTTGAGGGGTCACCCTATTCTCCTAATTGATCCGACTGCTATCACAGGAGGAGGATCTTTCTTTAGTGTTGAATCTCTACTTGGTTGTACACGTCTTTTACGTCCTCCTACAGTCCTACTCGTATCGATCTCGAATCTCTTCTTCCCGATGATGATTTCTCGTTTGAAGAATTTCTGACGGCTGACCAATATCTCAAAGATCTCTCCTCTTCTCATCTTGAAAACGATACCTCCAAGATTTTAGATTTCTTCGAGCCTATAAGACCCGTCAAAGAGAATAGGACAGGCGTCTTCTGGGACGCTGAAGATTTCTCATTTCCTCCTTTTTCCACTCCTGATGAGATCTTTGCCAGAATCGAGTCTGCTCTTGTGGAAAGAGGTTTAATCTATAAGCTTACAATCTGGGTCTATCTTGATGATGACAAGAAAGGGACTTGGTGAGATGCCTTACTTGGTGGTAGTGGTGGTGGTAAAAAAGAGTGGGCTTCCAGAATTTACTTTCTTCCCGGAGGTAAAAAAAAATACTCCCCCACTCTTTTCTTTCTTTATATATCTATAACCTATTGTTATTTTTATTTTCCAGGGGATAAAGCCTCGAGACGTATTAGAATGGCAAATGACATTTATTTTTGGGCAAAGGACGACAGCGAAAATATTAGTTTTGAAGGTATTTCGATTCTCTTCTCAGATCAATTCAAAGATGACGCCGAGTACTCCGAGTCCTCCGATATGCTTCAGAATCTCGTCGCGTGCGGAACTTGCCGTATTCTCTCAGTATCTCCCATGGACATCATCAACAAACCAGAAGAAAGTCCTGAATGGCCAGGATTGCTAATAGATATAGGACGAGAGTGGGTTAGTGGCGCTTGGCTCTTATAGCTCCCTTTGGTTTCTATTTTACTATGGTACTAGTCTTGCAAACATTATTAGTGGGACACTAATAACAAGCTTTAGTTCATACCCAATTAGATTTTAACAATCAAGAGCACCAATCTGATTATGTAGATGCTCCCTAACCTCATCAAGCCAAATCAAGAGCATTTGATGAATATGAGTCCGTCACTGCAGAATCTATGTATGAAAGAAAGAGAAAATATTGGTGAAGCGGTAGTTCACCGCTTATATAATGAACTTTGTCGAGTAAAGTCACTTCTAAAAGACAATATGTGGATGTTGAACGGATGGTCACATTCCAAGAGAACTTTCAAACTCATGCAACTTTAGGCGCACATGCATCTTACGTAGATTAGTGCAACATATGGGTGGATAAGAAGTTCTCATCCTTTCTTACTTTGTTCCTTGAGAACTAACATATATATGATGGTTAGTAAAGAAAATATACCATATGGTTCAACATTTAATCATTAGCAAGTAGTTGTGTGGTGCCGATCCATTTATGTCCATGTCAAAGTTAAGCAAAAACAGATACTGGATGTACCTAACTATAAGGGGAGGGGGGTCGTCTTCTTCTTCTTGGTATTCACATGCAGGGCGTCTCGAATTAAAAAAAGTTCACTATAAATTTAATGATGTAATAAAATAATTTTAAAGTTAATATCTTTATATATACACATTTGCGGGTTTCTTTAAATTATAAATTATGAATTTACAAGGAGTATATAAAAGTTTGATATTTTAAACTATAATTATGTATTTATTTATAAAAAAATTTTAGTATTTTTTTTATTTTTAGATTTGGACCATGTTCGACCGATCTAGTAGAACATGTTGTTAGACGGTTCAAAAGCCATGGATAAAAAAAATTGGGAAATTTTGTGTGTCACTAGACAAGTATACTTGATGTTCAATAAGAAAATATTGTAACATATTAGTGTATGTGTACATATATTTAATAATGATGTTACGAAAACCAAATGGTCGAGATAGGAGATAACACCGTTGTGAAAATGTGAATTTGAATGACGGGTATTATTTGAATCTAGAGGCTGAAGAATTCAAATAAAATCCACATTATATAAAAAAAAAGGTATCAATGACTTGGAAACATTGTCATTACAGGAAAACAAAAAAAAAACCTAAGAGATCGGAAAGAGAAAGAGTCAGCGAGAGGTGGTGGTGGTGGTGGGATTAGGTTGAAGCATTGAAGGAGAGACGAGTGGGGACAATAGAGGGATCGGATCTGTGCCGTTTTGACATAACGCAGACGTGGAGACAACAGTCGTAGGAGGAGGAGATTCCTTAGAAGGAGGAGGTCTTGGTGGTAATGAGAGAGGACAAGGAGCTCTTCTCTGCAGCCGGCAGCTTAGAGATCGCCGGAAAACGCAGTCGTCGTTGTGAACTCTCATCTCAAAACCTGGAAACGGATCTCCTTTACGCCCTGCCTCCTCCATCTTGATTCTTGATTCTTGTTTCTTGATTCTTGATTCTTGATTCTTGTTTATCGTTTCTTGTTTCTTGATTCTTGATTCTTGTTTCTTGTTTCTTGATTCTTGATTCTTGTTTCTTGTTTCTTGATTCTTGATTCTTGTTTCTTGTTTCTTGATTCTTGATTCTTGTTTCTTGTTTCTTGATTCTTGATTCTTGTTTCTTGTTTCTTGATAATAACCAAGTTTTTTGGTGTTTGGTTTTACGATATTGATATTGATGTTGAGCTTGTGATTTTTGGTTTTTAAAGGGTTAAAAATCTTTTTTTAAAGATGAAGAAGATTGGTTGCTTAGCTTAAGGATTTTAATAGAGAAATAAGCTGATTGGATAATAATAACAACTTAATAAACTCATTTTCCAAAGAAAAAAAAAGGTAAAAAATAGAAATTGGGTGAAAGTGTGGTGGTTGTGTGCTGCGTGTATTGGCTCAATATGGCAAAAAGAAAAGAAAATATTAGAACTGGTCAACGGTCAATAGTTTGGATAGGTATGATATCTAATTATATATATCATCTATTACGTTATGTTTATTGTGTTTTCTTTGTTTGTACATGCTATGTTTAGTCTAAGACCATCATTATCGCAGGGTCCTAAAGTGGGTTTTTAAGAAAAATAGTGATTTAATTAAATCAAAAATAATTAAAATGGGAATAATCGATCCTTAATGTGAGACTTTGGCAATCGGTTTCAAGTGGGTTTTCTAGAACACGTGTCACAAGACCCTGAAGTTCCAATTTTTTGTTTCTCTCCTTCTCCTCTCGGCTTTCGTCGTCTCCTTCTCCTCTCCAATCTCCAATCTCCTCTGTTTTCTCCAATCTCCTATTTTTTTTTCTCACCAAAAAAGTAGGCATCATTGTTAGCGATGAGGTCATCTTCTTGCTCGTCCCCTGCTACTGGGTTTCCTCCACCATCGACGCATATACAAAATTTCCTTCTCTGTTCGCTGCTCGCTTCCTCCCTCAAAGCCGCGAGCCACCTCTGTTCACGCCGTCATGACCCTCGCTGGGTATGTGAATCAAACCCATTGCTCGACTTAGCTTAAAGTAGAAACCTTTTACGAAGTTTGAACCTTTCATTGTTGTTGTTGTTTATTGTCGATGCAGATCGTTGACGGGGAAGAAACGAGTAGATGGGAGCGAGAGCTTGACATTCGAAAATATCCGAGACTCCTTGATCCGACAGCATTATATTCGGTCTGTTGGAGAGAGCCAAGTACTGTTACAACGCTAATACTTACGATCCTACTGCTTTTGACATGCATGGAGGGATTCAACGGCTCTTTGGTTGAGTACATTGTCAAAGGCACCGAGAAGCTTCACGCTAAGGTATTAATTACATAGTCCTTGCTAGGTTTCAAAATGGAACATAACCACAAAAGTTATTGAATCTTTGGTTTTATTCTGTTGTGATAATGATTAAAGGTTGGTAGGTACAAGAGCCCTGATGAACATCCTTTCTTTCCAGACGATTTGCCTGAGCATGTAAAAGAGATTTAAAAAGGGAGTCTTTACTGTGTTTTTAGCAAAGAAACTGAAACAAAACTTGTTTGAGTATGTTTTTTTTTTTTTTTATCAAAATAGGTATTGCATTTTGCTACTGATTCGATAAACATAAACAATAAGATATGGAACATGTACTTCAGAAAACTGTCTCTGTATCTGCAGGTTCCAAAAACTATGAAGCATACTGTCTATGTATACTACCAACTTGAGAATTACTACCAAAACCATAGACGGTACTGTCCACACCACACTGCCATTAAAGTTTCGTGGTCTTTATAACCATTTCATGAGGGTGTCACGTCATGAATATGTGTTGGTATCAGTTACATCTATGGTTGTTGATTATATGTGTAGGTATGTGAAAAGCCGAAACGATGCACAACTAAAAAGTCCAAAAGAAGAGCATGATGTTCAGACTTGTGCACCTGAGGATAACGTGGATGGACAACCAATTGTTCCATGTGGTCTTGGAGTTTGTTGAATTTTCAAGAAACAGCCAAAAACTTCATGTGAATAAGAAAGACATCTCATGGAAGAGTGATAGAGACAGTAAGTTTGGGAAAAATGTCCGAATACTCTTTGTCCCTTTTGAGTCAATCATACATGTTCAAGCTCTTAAGATGATTTGCTTTGTTTGTTTATTCACAAAGTTTCTCTCTATCTCTTTTCTTTCTGAGTACTCTCTCTCAATAATGGATGAGTTTTAATTGTTTAAGAAGCTCTGTTTATGTTGTGTCTTATTGTTGTTGTTCTGTTATGTTTATATTTATTCACAAAACCAAACTCATCCATTTTCTCCTTCTCTCTTTAATCACCATTCACTTTTCTTTTAAAAAACCTTAAGTTAAGAAACCATGAATGGAGGACAAAAAGTTAGTTGTTTCTTAACTAAATTCTTAACACACATTTAATATTAAACAAATGATTAAGAAACTTTTATGGGGTTATAGGGATAATCATGCTCTAAAATAGATGAGGATTAATATTAGCATGAGAAAGGCGTTATAGTCGTTGTTGTAAACATGTGGCCGCGTAGGCGCGTAACGCTTTGTATTTTTAGCTAAAATGCCCCCCAAAAAAACATAATGCCTATTTTATTGTTGGGAAGATCGTACAAGCACAGAAAGTAAAATGATTAATGTATAGTGACGAATTATATAAAGATATGGGATTTTACCAAAAAAAAAAAAGTATACAAAAGATAATCTGTAAACTCAGTAAATTAAAAATCTAAAGATAAGCACTGAAACTTAAAAAGATTTTCTCAGTCATGAAGTATCCTTCACCCACAGAACAGAAAGCCATGCATCGAGATTGAGAACGAGGAAGAGAAGTATTCCTCAATCACATGATAATATATGTTAGTTTAGTATTTATGTTATAGTTCAAATTGAAAAGGAAATGTCTCCACAGTCTAATTGAATAAATATAAGTTGTAAAAGAAATGTAAGTTGTAACATGTAACGATTACAATTGAAAAAGAAATGTAAGTTGTAACATGTAACTCTAACATGTGAAAAAAGGGCGGTGTTGACAAATGAATAAATATTAAGTCTTGTTTGTGGTGGGGAGGTTTCACTTTGTTTGGTCTCCCCTCCATGTGACTCACGAGTCACGAATCTTATCATACACACACCATCGACATAGTTTCAGTAAACACGCCCCCATAAAGTTTTCAGTGGCAATATCTCCACACTCCACACCCTCACATGCATGGTCCTAGTGTTGTATATTTTTTATATGTTTTGTCTCCCATATTAATCTTTATGCATATATATATATATATATATATATATATATATATATATATATATATATATATATATATATATATTGTTAAACTTTCAATTGAAAACCAGTTTTCAATAAGTAGTTTGTGTGGTATGATAAGCTTCCACAAAGACTTAGAAAATATCCCATAACTCCTTTGGGGTCTCTCTACAAAAAAGTATGCCGCATAAAACTAAATAAAAAAATCTCTTAAAAATCTTTGATCTTTATAACCAAGTGATGAGCATTAGTTATAACGTTCTACAGTTTATCTGCACGTTGTCTTGTCTCTAATATTCTTGTTCGCATTTTATAATTTCTGTAACATTTCATTATATGCTTAAAGCCTTAAAACTGACGAAAAAAAACAAAATTACCTCATAAAAAGGTATATACTATACAATTATGAAATTTGTCACCCACCACAATTATTTCATGTTATAGTTTATTTTCAAATCGTACTGTTTAAGGTCATGAAAACTTTCATTTGATATAAACATTAATTTTAGGCTGCAGAAGATTCAGTGGAGATGATTAGGAGAAGTTAATAATATAAACAGAAGAGGAGGTTAATAACACTTAACACTTTAGTCATACTAAAAACCCTTTCGTCTTTTGCCCTATCCAACGTTGGATCCTAGACCAAGAATTAAGGTTATAAACTGGTGATATATACAGATTTTTCTTCTTAAGTTTAAAGAAGCAGTTAAAAACCTAGATGAGACTTAAGCTCACAGCCTAAGCTTAACATGTTCCTTCAAGAGTAAGACCGAACCAAGCCAAAGTTGACAAAAGATTTCGATTTGAAGAGACCACCAAAGAGAAACCTAGTTGGAGATTCTTGAGAATGCTGTTTTTGTCTCTGTTGTTGTTGTTCTTCAGGGTTGTTCTTAACTTTGAGAATAGTTTGGCCTATGGTTTGCCTTATGGAATCTATAGTCTTGGCATCAATTGAGTAACCAGACGCATCACTGACATAGAACGTGTTCAGAGCTTTGCCTCCTTTGGTTTTAACTTCTGCTCTAGTGACCGTTAGACTGTTCTCACGGAATATGCGAGTCACGTTTGACAACAAGCCTACTCTATCCGTCGTGCACAGTTCCAACTTCAATCCCTATAACAACATCAAAGACAAGGATCTTCAGACACAGTTACAAAAGTGTTTAAACTTAAAAAAAATTGTTTCCAAGTAGTAACCAGAAGCTTTATGAAAATCAGTACTAAGCTAATAAGAATTATTCGAGGCCTAGACATTAACAAACTATTTATTTATTTTATATAAAGATTATATTTATATAAGATATTTTAGTTTTTAAGTTTAACTATAAAATTATTTTGATTGATGATCAAAATAAGATATACAGAACAAATAAATAGAAAATTTATGGATTTTACTAACATTATTGATTAATTCAACAGATTTAGACTAATGTAGATCAATTTAAACGATTTACCCAATTAATAAAATTTTAAACCAGTTAAATTTTAGAATCATCATGACACAAAACTATATATGATGAATATTTTGTACCTCAGATACTCTTCTGTTGATAGCTGCTTCAAGACATTGTATGACTCTTTGCTTCTCAGCTTCTGACTTCACAGGGGAACCATCTATATGTCTCACATAATACTCTTGATACGCCTCTGTGCCCTCAGTATCAACGCTTCCATGGAAAACAACATACTGCATGTCAGTCAAAGTGCAGACAGTATCAAACAGAAGCTTTGGTCTGTCTTTACACCTAACAGTGACCACAGAGTAATCCTTATCAAGCCAGTTATCAACACAAACATCTGGTCTCTGCCTCTCATCTTGTATAGAGGAATCATCATCCACCGCACGGTGTTCATAGTCTCTATCTTCAAACATCATCTGATGAAGCCTCCTGTCAGTGTGAACCTCACCGTGAGAGAGTACAGTTTTGGCTTCTCTAGGTGTGTTGCTTCCTTTGAGGACGTTTCTGAGGAGGTTCTTGATCCGAGATAGCCTCTCTGGATCAGAGATTGCACACCCGGTTGAGTCATCAGTCACCTGCATCACAGCAGCTGCTCTGGTGTTGTGTGTCCAGACCTCTGCGTTTAGGACACTGCATTTGAGATGGGTGAGGACAGCTGTCAGTTCTGAGAGTAGACCTGGTCTGTCACAGCCGGTTAGCTCGATAACCGTGCTGTCTGTTGATGGTATGACACCAACGGTTCTCATTGAAGTGGAGAAACAAGCTTCAGGACCTAGAGACTGAAAAATTAACCACATCATATACTCATTAGACTCATTTTACACATAACCAAATCTTGTTAAAGAAACTCACTTTTTGGATAAAGTCCAAAACAACTTCATCAGTGACTTTGTTCCCATCTTGGTCAGTGACATTAAATACTGCCAAAGTGAATAGAGAAGATGAGACTCAATTACATGTTCGGAAGTAGATGAAATACATAAAAGAGACCAGAAGCATACCATCCATGAACCAACCACCATCAGAAGAGATATAAGCTTTGGTGATAGTGAGGTTAAGATCAGTGAGGATTTGAACAACTTCAAGAAGAATCCCATATTCATTTGCACTATCCACCTAAGAAACAAAAGAGTATGTGTAAGAAAACCAAAAAAACTATAGACTATACTAATAAACCACAAGATAAAAAGACAGTACCCTTATCACAGTTGCGTTCTTGGAAGAGTCATTATCAATCACAACCCTAAATAAACAAACAAAAAACAGAGGTTTTAATCCAAAAATCATCAGAGAATGATTGATTATTAAAATTAAAAAAAGAGGAGAAACAAGTTGTTATACCTTGGTGGGTTCATTCTTCTGATTAGCTTCTCATACTCATCATCCATATCCTGTGAAAAACTCATGCTAACATCTGCAACTCAAAAACAGTTACAAAATCATTCCTTCACTTTGTGTAACTTCACAAAAGTCCATAAAAATCAAAACTTTAAAAACCACAGACCAAAGAAACTTCCATCTTATAAAACCCATAAACAAAAAAAAGCTTCTTTTTAAGCCAAATAAAAAGAGCTACTTCCTCTGTTTTTTTTTTTTTTTTTCCTTAATTCTTCCTCTGTTTTCTTAGAAAGACTGAACAAATAGAGAGAGAAAGAAAACTACCATAGCAGATTACCATCATATAATGAACATAAATATACCACCGACATCAAATCCTAAAAAACTAACTTCTGAAAAAGCTAAACAGAGAAACCCAGAAAACAGAGTCAACAAAACTAAACGAAGAAGAAGAAAAAAAAAAGAAGGAGACTTTACCCATTATTGTTCCTTTTAGGGTTTATGATTCTCGAGAAAAAACTAAAGTAGTTTCAGTAAAAATTCGAAGAGGAGAAGAAGGAGAAAGACCTGCATATATAATGGCCAAACCACAAAGATCTTTTCACTCTCTACAAACTATTTTTAAAATTTAATACTTTAAAAATAATCAAAAGAGAAATTAATCTGACACGATTCTCCCATAAACGAGCAACTCACCGAGAAAATTATATATAATGGAGAAAAAAAAAAGTGATTTGCTTACTCTGTTCTTATTATTATACGGTGTGAAGGAGAAGGGAGAAAGAAAAGATGGGTGAACTGTAACTCTCGGTGTATGTTAGCCCACGTGGGAACTGTTTATGCTAATATGCGCGTGTGTTAATTTTTAACCACGTGATGGGGTAAATAAATACTACTGACAAGGTCTTTCATCTAATCTATCACCCAAAGTTCTCGGAGCAGAAGTGAAAAAAAAAAAGTTTAATAAATTTTACCGTTTCGAATTTTAAGCCGATTCTCTGATTCTAGAGATTCATTAAAGAGAGATTGCATCGTTATAATAGAGATTCTTTGTGCAAAAGAAATGATATGATTCTATATCTATATATTCCATCTTTAATCATATATTATTCTGTATCGAATATTTGAAATTATAGAAT